CAGTCAGGGGACAAGGAGCGGGGGGGGGGAATTGGAGGTTCTGAGGGGGGCAATCAGGGGGTGAGAAGTGGGAGGGAGTGGATGGGGGTGGGGCAGGGGCGGGGCTAGAGCGGGGCTTTTTTCCTCTTTTTTGCTTGTGGAAATATGGTAACCCTATTTTAACTATGCTGGTTTCAAATCAAGACAGTGATACAAAAAATGTGTGTTAACAAGCCCTTATTTAAACTAGTACAAACTCCTAAGTAGACACGCTTATCTCAATTTAGTTGAAGTCAATAACTTAATTGATTTTAGTTAAACCAGTACCAGTTGTGTGTGCAAAGCATAATGATAGTTATTTCACTGTCAACAATATTAACTATTAAATGATGATGATGATGATCAATACGTTTACTCACAAATTTAAACTGTCTTTCCACACTTTCCCAGATGTCAAAAGGTCCAACTGCAGGAGCGCCATTTCAGATTTTTGGGGAGAAGGGACTTTAACTGTGATTCCAGGAGCTACGGAGGCACGTGAAAACTCTAATTTTTTTGCAGATAATAACTTAGAAATTAGCTGACAGGAGCACTGTACCTAATTCCTATATAAAGAAAGAAAAAATATATACAAACACGAATTAAAGCCATATTTTATATTTATATTAAATTTAGAACAATCAGGAGATTTAATACAGCAAAATATTCCCAATCCCAAGCCTGGAGATATCAGTTCTGGGGCTTTAACACAGATATTAGAAACATATTAGAAACATAGGTTTGATACTTTGTACACTATCTTTAGTAGAGATAAATAAAAATAAATAAAATCTGCTTAAAATTTGCTTATTTCTCTAACAGACACACTCTGTGTTACTGCCTCTATTTTAGTCAATTGTTTTAGTCACTCCACTAAACATATACTTATTTAATTTTAAAATATGCGATTAAGCTTTTTTCTCTTTTATTAAGAACGGGAATTTATTTTTCTAATTATTTTGGCATTTATGTTTGCTGATCACAATTATGTATGTAACTCACTAACATTTGACTCCATCATTACTATTAGTATCAGACTTGGAACCACATTTATTTTCATACAAATTTTAAGTTATTTTACACCTATAACTAAAATACAATTTGAAAATAAGCAATCTTGAGTTGCACAGTGTCTAAAGTTATGTGTTTAGATAATTTTTTTTTAAATTGGCACTGCTAGGATGAGTACAAGCTAAATTTACATTCTAGAAGGATACTATTATTTGATTGTACCACTTTTAAATAATGAATGACAAAGCACAATATGATAATAAAAGTAATTATGATAATTACCCAAGCCAGGACAGGTTAGGTATTTTAGAACTCACTACTCAAAGAATTACATTTAAGCATAAAAGAGAAATAAAGTAATGAAATTCACAGATGAGTCAAAAAACTAAATTTAACTACTGTAACTAAAATAACAGTACTGTAAACCTTAACAAACTTTGAAAGAATAAAATTACAGAGAATAGATGTGCATTGCACATTTTGACTGTAAGTACCAAGAAATAACAACAACAATAATAATAATACAAGTGTGTATGTGTTGGGGGGAGTGTGTGAGGGAGACTCTGTGTGTGTGTGTGTGTGTGTGAGAGAGAGAGAGAGAATGTGTTTGGGGGAGCGTGTTAAAGAGTGTGTGTTGGGGGAGTGTATGTGGAAGACTCTGTGTGTGCTTGAGGCTACATCTTCACTACAGGGGGGTGTTGATTTAAGATACGCAAATTCAGCTACGCGAATAGCGTAGCTGAATTCGACGTATCGCAGTCGACTTACCCCGCTGTAGGGA